CATCGACAGACATCTTGTCCATGACAAACCCATAAACAACAATGGGGAAGATTTATTTGACATTTGACTTGCGTTATCGCATTCATCCACAGGATATTTTCCTACAGTGGGTTATTTCATGATTTAAGCTGTAGCCCTTTATCGTCTATAGCGCCTCTGGCGACTATGAAATCAGTCGTTCTCGGTTAGGTTTTTAAGTTAGAGTGCCCAGGGCATGGATTGATAATTCAATTAAATCGCAAACGTGAAAAGGCCCCCGCCGTTTGTTTGCATCATCTCCACGATCAATAATAATAATCTTCCCTTTGCAACGGCACCAGCTGTGGCCCGCAAGTAGAGCCGCGCCATCTGCTGTCCCAGCCAAAGAGTAGCCCCGATGCTGCCACTCCGTCCTGGGTCTTGTCAGGAGTGGCTCATCGCAGTAAGGCCTGTCATGGATTCATCATTTGGATTAACCGTCACTAACCTAAAAATTTTAAGTTTGTTTTGTTTATGGAAAGTTTGTATACATTCGCGTAGGGTTGATGGCTATGGTATATACGTTTTTATTAGTTTTCCCTTTGGAAAGTTACTGAAACACGAAGACAATTATTATTAATTACATATCCTTATTATCCTTATTTATTGAATAAACAGGGCAAGCAAAGGAGTACCTCAGCGATAAGCGAAACGGTTTTACTATTAGTAATCAGCCAGGCTGGAGGCTTATAAAGCCCAATGTCTAGCATACCAACTCTAGTCAGATATCATTTCCTAAACCTCATTCATTCCAAAAACGAACATCACGAACAATATTTTTAATTCAAACAGTATTTGAATCGTGTAAAAATTATACATTATATGTTTGAATTGCGATGTTATTTTGTGCAAAGCACAGGTTATCAAACTTTTCCTAAGACAAGTTCAAATATATTAATTGGCGGTACCATTTTTCATATAGACACTCAGACAGATGGTTTACTTTGAATATATGTTAAACTCGAACTAGATATAAGATTTCTATGTTCATAGCAAAGTGCCTGCAAATTCGTATTTTGATCGGATCGAAGAATTAAAACAGTAAAATCTCAAGCAGTAAATAAATTTCTATGAACAGTTTACAATGTACTTTAGTAATTATTTTTGCAATATTCCTTGCCAGA